CCCTGTGGGTGACCCACCAGTGTGTCTCAGTGACGGGTCAGAGCAGAGTGCACAGGTTTGTTTGGGTAGTGTGTACAGTAATTACAAACTTCCATTATTTTATTTTAAACTGAATATTTAAAACAAATAACATAGACGTACTTTGAATCTATATAAATGAACAAGATTACTAAAATCGTTTTCGTCAGGCTAGGCTACACAAGTCAATGATTTATGTAGCTAAGCGTCACAATGAAGGTGACAAGTGGTTCCTGGGAGAATGAGACGTCAGTATGTTCTTGGGGTTAACGAGTGTTCGTCGTTTGTCTCCTGGATTATTTGTATATACAAACTTGGACAACAGTTCGCCTGGCTGCTTAGTCTTCTATAAACAGTAAGTTTCATTATTCATGATATAAGTTACTTTTGAAATTTTAATAAGTTCGATTTAAAGTTTTGAGGCAAATTTAGAGTAGAGTAATTTCTTTTTCTGTCGTACTTATGTTAGCAAATTTTGAAGTGAAAAAAATATTTTTCATAACATTTCTTCTTAGTAGTGTCCTTTTAAATACCCCATTCAAGACCTCCCAACAAAAGCATATTAAATAACAGGCCAGAATAAGGATACAACAATATTTAGGCTAGCTTTAGATAAATTAAGGCGTAGTGTAAAACACCCTTCTGGCAAGACAGTGATGGAGTGAATGATGGTGAAAGTTTTTCTTTTTCGGGCCACCCTGCCTTGGTGGGAATCGGCCAGTGTGATAATAACAAAATATAAAAATTTTGGTGTAGATGGAAGGTGGTGTCAAGGACGTTCCGGTTACGGGTGGGAGGGAGTGTAAGAGATTATACATGATAGGAAGGTAAGTATACAACATACATGAGCATGTTGTATGGAAGTGAATATGTAACGTGCAACAGGAGAGTAAGTATGGTAATATAAATCAAGGGATGCAGAGTAAACTAGCTAGCTTCACTTTGAGTTTTGGAGGTGGGAAGTACAGTGCCTCAGTTTTAAAATCTAGATGAGCTGTCTGCTTACTGTCAGACGTAGACAGCACCCTGTTGAAAATTATGATAAATCAGCTATAGCTTTATGGATGTTTTGAACAATTCACCATTTAATTAGTTTAATTACTGTACTTTTTCGAACTGTTTTATTTAAAACTAGCAGAATGGTTTCAAAGGTTTTCTTCCAGGCACTTGCCTTGTCGGGAGGGTGTGTGTGTGTGTGTGTGTGTGTGTGTGTGTGTGTGTGTGTGTGTGTGTGTGTGTGTGTGTGTGTGTGTGTGTGTGTGTGTGTGTGTGCGTGTGTGTGCGTGTGTGCGCGTGTGTACGTGTGTGTGTGTTGCGTGTGTGTGCGTGTGTGTGCGTGTGTGCGTGTGCGTGTGTGTGCGTGTGTGTGCGTGTGTGTGCGTGTGTGTGCGTGTGTGTGCGTGTGTGTGCGTGTGTGTGCGTGTGTGTGCGTGTGTGTGCGTGTGTGTGCGTGTGTGTGCGTGTGTGTGCGTGTGTGTGCGTGTGTGTGCGTGTGTGCGCGTGTGTGTGCGTGTGTTCGCGCGCATGCGGGGGGTTGGGGTGATGGGTGTGATGGGTGGAGTTTAACACGTCCGCATGTACTTTGTCAGGAGGAGTTTCCCTACACCTGCAGGTGTAGGGAAACTCAAGGAAGATTCATTCCTCAGTAGATAGTTCGTCAGATGACTGGGGTGCGGGACAACCACATACAATTTATCAGGAATTACGTTGAGGGAGTCACTCCCCCCTCCACACTTGCCTCGTCAAGAGGCAGGTGTGGAGGCAAGAGAACTCTCGCTCTCGTACTTATCAGACGATACATCTGGCTTTTAAGTTCATATAAGGAACATGACGTTGTCCTCCGAAAACAAAAATCGCTCCATGGGGCGCCCCTCCTCTAATATTTTGGAAAGTGTTTTTTTTTTTAAATCAGTATAAAAACACCTTTAAAAATGACATATCATTGAAAATAGTGTAACCAAACAATGCCCACCCTCATGGGGCGCCAACCCCCTCATTTAAAATTTTGAAATACTATATATCCTAAAATTTGCTGCTGGGTACAAAGAAACCTGTGGCAAAGTATATTTGTACTAGTTTTCACGAGTATTGAATTACAAAAAAAAAAAAAAAAAAAAATTACAAATTTTTATATATTTACTTATTTATATATTTATTTATATTGTTTATTAGTTGGTATATGCATGTAGAATTGTATAAATATTTTATATGTATTTATAATTTAATTATCATAAAAGGAGAACTGAAGTATGTTAATTAGTCTTGTGTAGTCAGCTTAGAACCCTAATGGACAATTTTAAGAAGATCAATGAAAATCTTACGACCTTAATTAATCTAGTCTTTACACCGTTGACTTTTCAAGCTTAGAGCGTTTAATCTACCTCAGCTTATTTCAAAACCCAACTCTAAGGTAATTACCACCCACCAGGATGTCACACAAAATATTTGACTGACGTCAACATACCTACTTACTGGTGAGTGAACAGGGACAACAAGTGTAAGTAGAGCAAGGTTGAGTGCAAGGTTGTGAGTGCAAGGTGCTTAGTATAGAACCAAGGTCCTTAAGTTGAGTGCAAAGTGCTCAGTACTGAACCAAGGTTCTTAAGTTGAGTGCAAAGTGCTCAATACTGAACCAAGGTTCTTAAGTTGAGTGCAAGGTGCTTAGTATTGAACCAAGGTCCTTAAGTTGTGAGTGTAAGGTGCCCAGTACTGAACCAAGGTCCTTAAGTTGTGAGTGCAAGGTGCCCAGTACTGAACCAAGGTCCTTAAGTTGTGAGTGCAAGGTGCTTAGTACTGAACCAAGGTTCTTAAGTTGTGAGTGCAAGGTGCTTAGTACTGAACCAAGGTCCTTGAGTTGTGAGTGCAAGGCGCTTAGTACAGAACCAAGGTCCTTAAGTTGAGTGCAAAGTGCTCAGTACTGAACCAATGTTCTTAAGTTGAGTGCAGAGTGCTCAATACTGAACCAAGGTTCTTAAGTTGAGTGCAAGGTGCTTAGTATTGAACCAAGGTCCTTAAGTTGTGAGTGCAAGGTGCCCAGTACTGAACCAAGGTCCTTAAGTTGTGAGTGCAAGATGCTTAGTACTGAACCAAGGTCCTTGAGTTGTGAGTGCAAGGCGCTTAGTACAGAACCAAGGTCCTTAAGTTGAGTGCAAAGTGCTCAGTACTGAACCAATGTTCTTAAGTTGAGTGCAAGGTGCCCAGTACTGAACCAAGGTCCTTAAGTTGTGAGTGCAAGATGCTTAGTACTGAACCAAGGTCCTTGAGTTGTGAGTGCAAGGCGCTTAGTACAGAACCAAGGTCCTTAAGTTGAGTGCAAAGTGCTCAATACTGAACCAAGGTTCTTAAGTTGAGTGCAAGGTGCTTAGTATTGAACCAAGGTCCTTAAGTTGTGAGTGCAAGGTGCCCAGTACTGAACCAAGGTCCTTAAGTTGTGAGTGCAAGGTGCTTAGTACTGAACCAAGGTTCTTAAGTTGTGAGTGCAAGGTGCTTAGTACTGAACCAAGGTTCTTAAGTTGTGAGTGCAAGGTGTATAGTACTGAACCAAGGTCCTAAAGTTGTGAGTGCAAGGTGCTTAGTACTGAACCAAGGTCCTTAAGTTGTGAGTGCAAGGTGTTTAGTACTGAACCAAGGTCCTTAAGTTGTGAGTGCAAGGTGATTAGTACTGAACCAAGGTTCTTAAGTTGTGAGTGCAAGGTGCTTAGTACTGAACCAAGGTTCTTAAGTTGAGTGCAAGGTGCTTAGCACTGAACCAAGGTCCTTAAGTTGTGAGTGCAAGGTGCTTAGTACTGAACCAAGGTCCTTAAGTTGTGAGTGCAAAGTGCTTAGTACTGAACCAAGGTTCTTAAGTTGTGAGTGCAAGGTGCTTAGTACTGAACCAAGGTCCTTAAGTTGTGAGTGCAAGGTGCTTAGTACTGAACCAAGGTTCTTAAGTTGTGAGTGCAAGGTGCTTAGTACTGAACCAAGGTCCTTAAGTTGTGAGTGCAAGGTGCTTAGTACTGAACCAAGGTCCTTAAGTTGTGAGTGCAAGATGCTACCGCTGAGCAACGAGCTGCAAATGACTTCGCTAATATTTACACAATGAATATTCACCAGTTTAACTACCCAGTTTAACTGGAAACTTGCAGGTATATATTGAACCTCGGTAACTCAGATCATCCTGTTTACTAATTCTTAATCAACCTATCTTAATACATGTTTTCTACATGATCAAACCATCTCAAATTTTCTTACGCTATTTGTACACATTATATGAATTAATAATAATTCATTCCTCGTAATATTCACTACTGACAGAGTGAAGACAAAAGTCATTTTATATTCAAACATGTTGCAAGTGTAGGTATTACTACAATTTGATAAATATAGCTTTTTCATTGAAAAATGTCTTTCATTTCCTCAGCCTCAACATTCTTCCATTGATTTTTTCCCCATTTATTATTTCACCTCATTCTTTAATGACTCGGCTGCTGATACATACACTCCATAGATAATTAAACCGTTTTCCTTCATATACTTTCATTATACAATCATATTAAACCTTATAATTCAACTATAGATCGTAGGAAGCTGACGCAAACTAGGAAAAATCATCACATCTACACTGTAAAATATTTTCTCGTATCTACCCAAAATCATTTTCCCGATTAAATTTTGCTGGTCACAGGTTTATTCCCATCATGATGCGTTTCGGTAATTTTTCCTTATAGGACACTGGTATTTTCCTAATAGAAATGGAACCGTCGCTAAGTGAGCACTGTCCAAGCCAGAAAGTACTCGATGTTAGTAACGAGAAAAACACGCAAATAGTTTACACAGGATTAAGTTACACTGTATTTACATAGATACCACCTGTATACCTCGTAAGTACCGCGATAAGTGTGCCAGGTTCAGAGGCAGCACTACACAGTGGTATGTCAGAGGAAGTGAGCCTCACTGCGTCGTGTGCTGAGCCACTGAGTGTCGAGGTGTGCCAGTCTCCCCTAACACCTTGTTTACTCTGCTATGTTTAGCCCATAAGCTCATAATTATTGTTTTATGCTTCCCAGGAGAAAATAGTTTTTACGTTTTTATTCGCACTCGCTTAGTCTTCCTACTTAAACTGTTTTTATTATGTGTTTTGGTTTTGACTGATACGAAATAATACGAAAACTCTTCTACTTATTTTATAAATATTTAACAAGAATGAGGGAGAGGGGAGAGAAATTTTTTGCTCTGTTTACATCTGGAGGTCGACTTATACGAGTACGCTCGCACACCCTCCATCTTCCTCTCTAAAATACACACACACACACACACAGTGAAGAGGCGGGGCCAGGAGCTCGGACTCGACCCCCGCAACCTCAACTAGGTGAGGTGAGTACACACACACACACACACACACACACACACACACACACACACACACACACGACATATAAAATACTGCGTGGAATTGACAAGGTGGACAAAGACAGGATGTTCCAGGGAGGGGACACAGAAACAAGAGGCCACAATTGGAAGTTGAAGACACAAATGAGTCAGAGAGATATTAGGAAGTATTTCTTCAGTCATAGAGTTGTCAGGCAGTGGAATAGCCTAGAAAATGACGTAGTGGAGGCAGGAACTATACACAGGTTTAAGACGAGGTTTGATAAAGCTCATGGAGCGGGGGGAGAGAGAGGGCCCAGTACAGTAGCAACCGGTGAAGAGGCGGGGCCTGGAGCTAAGACTCGACCCCTGCAACTACAAATAGGTGAGTACGTACACACACACACACACACACACACACCTAGAAATGAATGATCTCATCAACAGCAGCCAACATGGTTTCAGGGACGGGAAATCCTGTGTCACAAACCTACTGGAGTTCTATGACATGGTGACAGCAGTAAGACAAGAGAGAGAGGGGTGGGTGGATTGCATTTTCTTGGACTGCAAGAAGGCGTTTGACAGTTCCACACAAGAGATTGGTGCAAAAACTGGAGGACCAAGCAGGGATAACAGGGAAGGCACTACAATGGATCAGGGAATACTTGTCAGGAAAACAGCAGCGAGTCATGGTACATGGCGAGGTGTCAGAGTGGGCACCTGTGACCAGCGGGGTCCTGCAGGGGTCAGTCCTAGGACCAGTGCTGTTTCTGGTATTTGTGAACGACATGACGGAAGGAATAGACTCTGAGGTGTCCCTGTTTGCAGATGACGTGAAGTTGATGAGAAGAATTCACTCGATCGAAGACCAGGCAGAACTACAAAGGGATCTGGACAGGCTGCAGACCTGGTCCAGCAATTGGCTCCTGGAGTTCAATCCCACCAAGTGCAAAGTCATGAAGATTGGGGAAGGCAAAGAAGGCCGCAGACGGAGTACAGTCTAGGGGGTCAGAGACTACAAACCTCACTCAAGGAAAAAGATCTTGGGGTGAGTATAACACCAGGCACATCTCCTGAAGCGCACATCAACAAATAAACTGCTGCAGCATATGGGCGCCTAGCAAACCTCAGAACAGCATTCCGACATCTTAATAAGGAATCATTCAGGACCCTGTACACCGTGTATGTTAGGCCCATATTGGAGTATGCGGCACCAGTTTGGAACCCAAAACCTAGCCAAGCACGTAAAGAAACTAGAGAAAGTGCAAAGGTTTGCAACAAGACTAGTCCCCAGAGCTAAGGGGTATGTCCTACGAGGAGAGGTTAAGGGAAATCAACCTGACGACACTGGAGGACAGGAGAGATAGGGGGGACATGATAACGACATACAAAATACTGAGAGGAATTGACAAGGTGGACAAAGACAGGATGTTCCAGAGATTGGACACAGTAACAAGGGGACACAGTTGGAAGCTGAAGACACAGATGAATCACAGGGATGTTAGGAAGTATTTCTTCAGCCACAGAGTAGTCAGTAAGTGGAATAGTTTGGGAAGCGATGTAGTGGAGGCAGGATCCATACATAGCTTTAAGCAGAGGTATGATAAAGCTCACGGCTCAGGGAGAGTGACCTAGTAGCGATTTAGTGAAGAGGCGGGGCCAGGAGCTCGGACTCGACCCCCGCAACCTCAACTAGGTGAGTCAACTAGGTGAGTACACACACACACACACATACATACATACATGCGCACACACACACACACACATACATACATACACACACACACACACACTCACACACACACCACACATACACGCACACACACACACGCGCGCGCGCACACACACACACACACACACACACACACTCACACACACACACACACACACACACACACACACACACACACACACACACACACACACACACACACACACACACACACACACACATACACACACACACCACACCACGCACACACACATAGCTTCGATGATTATTTTTGTTACCAAGGGCAAGTACCTTACACTTATCCACATTGAACTTTATCTGCCATTTTTCAGACCAAGACATTAATTTGTCCAAATCGTCATGGAGTTCATTGATATCCTCCTCAGAGTAAATTATACGGCCTATCTTTGTATCATCGGCAAACTTATTCATGTCACTCGTGATCCCTTCATCAAGGTCATTGATGTAAGTTATGAACAAGAGAGGGCCTAAGGCTGATCCTTGTAGAGCGCCACTAGTGACTGATCCACATTCGGATTTCACTCCATTAATGGTAACTCTCTGCTTTCTATTGGTAAGCCATGCCTCAATCCATGCTAGAACTTTACCTCCTATACCGTGGGCTGCCACTTTTCTTAAGAGTCTCTTGTGAGGTACTCTATCGAAGGCTTTACTAAAATCCAAATAAACAGTATCATATTCCTTATCAATGTCAACTGCCTCAAATGTTCTATTGAAGAACGTCAGTAAGTTTGTCGGGCAGGAGCGACCTCTCGTGAATCCATGCTGAGATTCATTTATCAAGTTATGCTCTTCAAGGTGACTTCTGATAATGTCAGCTATAATTGATTCTAATAACTTGCCCACTATAGATGTCAGGCTTATTGGACGGTAATTTGAAGGAGTGGACTTGTCCCCTGATTTGAATATAGGAACCACATTAGCCATCTTCCACAACTCTGGCACAACACCGGTAAGGATGGACGTATTGAATACACTCGTTAATGGCTGACTGAGCTCCATCTTGCATTCCTTAAGGACCCTGGAAAACAGCTCATCGGGTCCAGGGGACTTATTTTGCTTCAGTTTGTCTATCTGCTTAATAACCATGTCCCTCGTGACAGTAATATTAGTTAACTTAAATTCATCAGGAACTAAATAATTGTTAATTATTGGAATCTCATTTACATCTTCCTGTGTAAAAACTGACAAAAAATAGTCATTAAAGAGGGAACACATTTCCAGTTCATTATTCGTCAGCTGTCCATTCCCAATTTTCAGAGGTCCTACTTTTTCCTTCACCTTCGTCCTATACACTTGAAAGAACCCCTTTGGATTAGTCTTTGATTCATTAGCAACTCTAATTTCATAGTCACGTTTACCCTTTCAAACCCCCTTTTTTACTTCTCTTTTAAGCTGAACATTTTGGGGCAGAAAGGGTTTAAACCTTCCTTTTCTGATGCGCCTAAAAATTTCCCCCTTTTTGCCCAATGTTTAGCCTCCTTTTTAACCCCAAATTGGGGATCGTTTTTTATTAGACCAAAATTTCTTCTGGGAATGTATATTCCTTTCATAATCATAAGTATGATCTCGTCAAAAAAATCTTAGCTAGAAAACCCCCAATCAAGATTAGAAGGTGCCCCAAGTCCTTTTAATCGGCAAAAACGAAAATGGGGATTTTTATTGTATTATCATTATTCTTGCTTTCCCAGTAATGCTAAAATGATGGATTTGTAATCACTTCGCCAAGCTCTTCAGTGTCTCCGATTTTTCAGGTTTTCCTTATTGACAAGATAGGTCTAGCAAATTTTTTACCCCCGGTTCTCCGTTTGCCCTGCTTTAGAAAAAATGTCCTGAACTGTTTCCCTAAAGTCACGGGGCCTGATTACCCGTCAAGAATTTCCCGCAATTTTTTGGCCAAAATTTAAAACCCCAACTATGACTAGTTTTGTGTCTAGAAGCCCTAACAATTCTCCCCAAAAAAGTCCCCTCTATCGTGATCCCAAACCTGGGCGGATATTACACCTAGAATGGTTTTTCTTTCCCCCCACAAACCTACCCAAACAAATTTTGTTACTCTCCATCTATTTTTATACTGTTTTTATGCAACATTCAATTTTTTCGAAATATAATGCAACTCCCCCCCTTCCATTTCATCTTTCCCCTTTAACAACTTAAACCCTGAATATTTTCACTCAGAGTCAATCCCGCTCTTTAAATCTCCAGTTTCAGTTAATGCAATGAAACAAAGTTCCCCGCACATACTACCAAAAGAGTTCATTAAATTTTTTTTCTTGCATTTTGTGTTAGCATAAAATACCTATATGTTTTCTTCTGCCATTTTTTTCCCATTATCTTTATTTTCCAATTTCTGTTTATCATTTCCCGGCTACCCAAGCAGTTATATTAAGGGTTTTTAAATCAGAGATAAGTCAAAATATCCCTACTCATTTTTATATTTCTAAACCCCTACCCTAATAATCCTAGTTTAAGTCCTAACAACCCTTCAACTGACTGCAAAAAAGCCCCACCGCCCTGGTAAGTGAACCCCCCCCTGGAAAACATGTCATTTCGGCCATAAAGTTGTCCATTGTCAATGAATGTATGCATTATCCTTACAGTGTTTATCCCCCCAACATTAATACCAATTTGCCTGGCAACCATTCATTACCAAACCTCTCTTGGCAAATGCCACAAAAACACACAAAACCACACACACACAAAATTGGTGAGTACACCCACCCCCAAAAACCCCCAACCCCCCCAAACACCAACCCAAAAACTAACACCACACACCCCCACAACAACACCAGCAATGACAACCTATTACTCCAACCCCCCCACTGTTCCCCCGCCCCAAACCCCCCTACACAAACCCACCCCCAAAGCTGTCCTTATGGGGCA